CTTCCTATTTCACATGGTCAATTATCTCATTAGGATCTTATGTACTATTATAGCTTTTCACACCAGAGAAACTATTCGGTATTTACACATGTGTTATTTATTTCACTCAGGAGTATATCCTCAATATGTATCCATTTTCCTATGAATGAATCTAATTTCTCATTCCATTTTATAGAAAAACCACATCTTCTTTATCCAATTTCCAACTGATGGGCAAATGTCATATACATTTTAATGTTATTTGTATTCTATTTTTTATGAACCAGAAGAATCATCTAAATAGAAACATAATCTAAGGTTTTAACTTTATCTCCAGGAGGTACTATGTGGTATTGAATCCAAAATTCAAAAATCAGACACCAAAATAATAATAGGAAAGAAAAGAACAGTTAATGGGACCTAGGACGATAGGTAGGTACTACAGGAAAAAAACGCCTATAAAACGGTAAAGAATCAGTAATTTGCCTTTTACCTGACAACATTTTTGTAACATAGTTAACTCTTTTTTTTTAGTTGAGTTTATTAGTACATTTTAGGGAAACAGTACAGTTACATTCATTGTTGGGATCTTGTACCTCTACATGACAGGTCTTGGCATAATTAACTCTTAAGAAAAGAAATTTTAGTACAATATGGAATTAAGTTTGAATGTTAACCCAACTATAAAAGTTTAAAAGTGTTTTACTGATAACATCTAACAACTTAATGACAAAGTAAGATACACTTTTTTGTTCTCTATGTTAAATTAAGAAACTCAGAACAAAACAGCTTCTAAATGCATTTGTGTAAGGTGGAAATTAGGTTCTTAGTGCTTTTGAAATAATAGCTGGTTCCCTCCAAGAATGAAGGTGTAGAACATGGAAAAGGCATCAAATAAAAGAGAATTAATTTAATGAAACCTACAGAGAGTAAGTAAACAGTTCATCATCGTTCTTGCTATTAGGTATAAAGAGGTCTTCATCTCTTGAAGAACATTAAAATCAGAGAACATTAAGAATAAAAGGACTTCAGCTTTTTTACAAAGTGAAAGAACTAGATTAGGTGACCTGTGTAAGAGCATTTCCTTCCCGGTAATGCTTTGACTATAAGAGATCCCAGTAGAACTAGATTATGATTTAGAGTACTGAGATATTTTGCAGGTCTGAACAGAGGTACAACCAGCAGAAAAATACCTATCTGCATGTGCAAATTATGGGCCTGAGTGATGTTTCCAAGTTTACCCCACACAGTCTCAGAGTGGGAGAGGGAAAAAACACCTTGTCACTATCACCTATCATTCACATGCAGATATCATGAACATGCAGCATATCCCATGATGCATATCATACAGCAAATTAATTTTACATCTCCACTTTTTAGGGCATTCCTTAGTTCTAAGAATCCATGGAATTTCTTGGTTTTATGGAAACTACATTATAACTCAACAGGTGAGAATAATGTAGAGAATAATATTCAGTACCAAGCTCAGCAGAAGAAAACCCTTTCTTCCCTCATTAACACCCAGATAAAGACTAGAGAAGCTGTCCTTTAGGAAGAACATTGGAGGCAAAAAGAGAAGTGCTAAAGGAAAGTGCTGAGGACGAGAAGTGGAGGCCTATTCTCTTCCATCTTTTCAGGAGGTATGCAAGCCATAACTTACTTAGTTGTAGAACTAGCTCTGGTACCACCTAAGGTAGAGGCTGGGCAGGAAATAAGGACTCATAGAGGGGTAGTGAGGATAGAAATCTACAAAACTCTACCCATGTTTCCTAGGGTTCAACTGAAGAACTTCTGAGGATTCCTCTGATTTTCTATCAGGTCATAAAATACAGTAAGGGGTCAGGTCTGCCGCCATGCTAGGATGGACACAGAAAATCATCTTGTCTGCATAGTTCCACCCAAGACACAGCCAAGGGCATTTCTGGCAGAGTCACTGAAAGCATTTTATTTACCACACCTAAAATGAGCAAGGCAGCCAATGCCAGGGCATCCAAATGGGACACTGCCTGTGTTTCTGACCAATGATGGGGCAGCCACCAAATAGTCCCACAACTCCTAGATCTACACATCTGACCACATCCATAAAATGCTCTTCCTCCTCCCCCAAGACCAGTCCTGTGGGATATGAAGGTCCCAGAGAGGGAAGAGGAAAATCACTGAGAATGCGAAAGCTGCTTTAAGTTAGTGACACTCAACAGGGCAATGACTGAAATTCTCATATGTGAGGTAAACTAACAACTTACTGAACATGGCATCAAGATGATAAGTACTTTACACAGTCACCCACCTGACTCAATTTTGTTTTCTTGCTGCATGTAGGCAAGGGGTTTTAGTCAAGAAACATACAATTATAGGAATAAAACAGACAGTGTTCATATATATTTGAGTGGTCCTTAAACCCATGACAATCAGTTGATACTTCATGATTTCAAAAATGTGTTACAACAAAACACTGAGGCCTAGATGAAGAATCACTTCAGCTTTAACTGGAAAAGTAAAAATGCCTGAACTCTTTTCCTGTGATCTTGGCTCTTTTAGATTTCACAAATAAATGAGCCCAAGTAACACTTTTGTAGGGCAGGGTTCTTTGAGTTACATAATGTCTTACAAATTTATCCACACTATTACACATGGTAGAATTTCCTTTTTTAATCATGTGAATAATACATGGTGTGTGTGTGTGTGTGTGTGTGTATGTGTGTGTGTGTGTATATCTCAATACAGAGCTGTATCTCATCTACATATACATCTATACATTTACATAGTATACTAAACATATAGTGTGTGTCTATATGCATTTTTCCACGTATATTTAAGTTGTTTCTATATATATCTATGGTGAATAATGATGCAATGAACCTGGGAATGCCACATCTCTTTGATATACTGATTTTGGTTCCTTGGATAGATGCCCAGAAGTGTGATTTCTGGATTATATGGGGAAATGTCAATCAAAGGTGTAAATTAACAGTTATGAGATTAAAAAGACTATGGTATCTGCTGTGCAGTTTGGTTATTAATTTAACAATGTGTCACTAAACAATGCAAGTATATCAAATCACACTACTATACAGAGTATTTATGATAAATATTTGTCAATTCATTATTTTTTAGTTAACATGTCTTATCTCATTGAGCTGAATTGATGGGTCCACTATGACAGTGTAAGGCCCTAAGAAAATACAGTAGTGTCTCAGTTCATGAACTGAATTTATTCTATGATTTGGGGAAAAATGGACATCTTTGTGTTTGTGTGGGAAAGACAGCCACAGTTGTGTTTGTCACCTGAGGCAGAGTTTGCAAACAAAAACAAATTTTTGCCAAATGCTTCTGTTTGTGTACCAAATTGTTTGCAAACAAGAGCACTGATGAACCAAGGTACTGCTGTACTGTAATGTACTTCTTCAGGTACGGAATAAGCCAAATGCACATAGACTATTCTCAAATGACTTAATAATGGACCCTACAGCTAATAAAGATGCAACACAGATGCAAACTCTGAACAAATTTACTGATGTACTTTTGAAGCATTTCTGACACAAATCTGAAATGAAGAAACAAATGGGAAATTAGATAATATAAATATTTTCAAATAAATGTTTTAGAAGTGAAAACATGAGCCTTGACATGTCTTGATTTCCATGCAAATATGTATAATGCTGCACATGTTCCAGCACCACTAAGGTTTAACAAATAGTAATTGCTCTCCTTTCTCACTTGTGGCCAAAGATGGAGTGAAAAATCACAGGAAATGTAATGTTACTATTATAACAATCAGTTGGGCTATTCATGAGTAGTCAGTCTCACAGCACTCAAGATGTTGTATCAGCTCAAACTGTAGGGGGAATATAGTAATACGTAAGGAATTAAAGGCTGAGCGTCCAGCATTAAAATATACTCAGAGACAATGTGACAAAAACACAACTGGGCTATATCTAACACAATGCGCCTGGTCTGAAAAAACACACAACAACTCCACACAATACAGTCTGAAATAGAATGGACGGAGGAATGTATCACAGAGACATTCCTTATCATATGTGGTTCACATTGGTATCACAAAAGTTGTGGTAAGAGGTCTTATTACTCAACATGGAAGCAATGTAAAGAAATACACCCAACCATAACCTATAAACATCAAATTCTACAAAATTAGTTAACACACAAAGAAATAATAAGAGGAAAATGGGTGGGTTCCAGGGGTTAATGATACAGGAAATAATACCACAGATGAAATATGAAATATTATATCTCCCAACCTGTTAGCTATATGATACGCTGAGCTCTTGTTTTCTAAAAATCAAAGAATGAATCCTAGGAATGACAGAGGTTAAGAGTAGGAAGATATTGATTGATAAGAAAGCTCCTGAGGGGAAGGAGGGGATTGAGTGGGTAGCCACCAGGACCCCACTTTACAGAGGAGTTTCATAGGGTGAAACCCACATGGGTACAACTTGGGCCACAGCCATGATCATCCAATAAGTTTACAAATATAGTCACTTAGGTAATAGTAGTCCAATTGGGAAACAAGTCATGCAACAAGTGTGGATAGAAATAAAGATTCTCCTAGGAAGTGGTGGGTCCACAGGTCTCTGGTCACCCACTGGGGTGGCTGATGTCTATCTAGACTTCATTAGGCCTAGTATTTGTTCTTTGAAGAACTATGCAGGTCTGGTCATCTTGTTTTGATCTTGAGGCCGAGTTTCCAACCCATATGTCACCAGGTGCAACTGTGGTGTGATTCATCTTTATTTTCTCTGCAGGACCTAGCCCTGTTTGACTGCCTATAATATATTTTTTTTTAACTCAGCTGTCATAAGACCATGACAGGCTGAGCAGGCTGAGTCAAAAGGAGGGACCCAGAAGGCCCAGGAGGGAGAAGGTCTGTTGGGCTGCAGGATGGGGGAGGGGACATGATGAGCCTTCTCTGCCAGCCACCCCTCCCCCACACTCAGGAACCCTTTGTGATGCGTCCCAACTCCCGGATCACTAGGACAACTCTCAGAGTTCAGTTGCCTGAAGGTAACGCTACAGACGATGAAGAGGTTTCTCTTACTTCTGAAAATCCTTCATGAGACTTGGATGAGTCCCAGCTCCACTACCTGGGCAACGGATGTCATCCTTGCCTCTGCTTGTGGACTGGCGCACCTCATCCCATTAATCCCTCACCTCCGGACCAACCTAGCCTTCCTGCTGACTGGGAAAAGGAACAACAGGAAGGTAAGGAGCCCTTGGCCAAAACCCAACACGCAGTGATTCTTTGCCCTGCTCTTCTTTACAGCTATTCCAAATCAAGACAGAGATTTCTGAGCAGAAAAATCTCAGGAAAGTTGCGAACATCATCCTGCTGAGCCAGGTCACAGGGCAGGGAGTGAGAGTGGGCCCAGCTCCTCCATCGGAGACTCTCAGACCACCCATGTGGTGTGCTGCAGGCGCCCAGGGGAAATGACTCTCTGTAACTCAGTGGCCAAGGACTGGGTTTACAAGAGGGTTAGAGACGTCTGGGGAACGACAGTCTCCAGGCACTGGTGTGTCAGTCAGTCCCCTTTCCACGGCAGGTGCCTGAGGGCCTCACCTCGCCTCTGGGTAGGGCTGATCCAGGGGCTGTGCTGACCGCAAAGGGCCAACGTCAGAGGCTGCAGTTACCTCTGGCATCAGGAAGCAGAGTCCTACCTGGCAGCTGAGAGGCACAGCTACATCACAGTCCGGGCTATCTGAGCACAGAACTGTGACCCAAGACACACACGGTAGAGTTCAAACTTGCTCAAACACACATGGGATTTTCCAAGGAACAAAAAAAGACAGTGATTTTAGTCACTTGCACAACTCAGCACTGTCTGTAAAAAGGGAGAAGGTCCTACCTTCATTGTCTAGGGCCAAGAGGAGGGAGAACTGCAGCCCCGCCTATCTTTGTTTTGTGTCTCAGCACCACAGAAAGAAGAGCAGGTGGAACCAGAGCAGGGAGCAGAGCCGCACTCAGAGAAGTAAGGCTTGGTCCTGTCCTTCCACCCTACCCAAGAAGTAACGTGCCCTCGCCTGCCCCAGAGCCAACACGGACGCATACCCAGGACGGCTCTGGGAAGGCCTAACAGGGAGCCTTCTGCGAAGGAAAGCTCCACTGGGGCCACTTACTTGCAGCTGTGAAAAGCCAGGCGATGGGTGACAGGAATGCAGGAGGGGGCACTGTGTGTGCGTGTGGCACTGCCGGATTTGAAGGTGGAAACGCCAGCTCCAACCTTGGAAGAACTGTTTTACTTTCATGTAGCAGAAGACTCTTTAAGATGACCTTTTCCTTATTGTGCCCAAAGTGATTGGTGGGAAGTGTGGGTGTTGGTGGATAAAGAAACTCCTTGTCCACGTAAGGTCTCTAAACCCTTCTGTGGCCTTCAGGGGTCTTGTGGCCTTGGACCCTAGGCTGGGCTGAGAGGGCTAACCTCATGGGGAGTCCACTCAGGAACAAGCCAGTGAGCCTCCTGGAAAATCCCAGACCCTCTTTCTCTGTCATAACACAGTCTGTTTCCAGCTTGCAGAGATTGCCCAAAGGAGGTGGTGGAGACTCGGGGCCCAGCTTTATTTATGCACAGGTGAGCAAGTTCCCAATTCTCTGACCTTCCTACCAACAGGAATGGGGATGTACCCAAGGTGAACGGACTGAGCAGGAGACTCCAGGTCAGGAGTCTTGGGAATAAGCCCTGGATGGAAGGAAACCAGAGCTTTTGGAAGTTGGGAGCGGGCAGTGGAGGGGCTGCGGGCCACAAGTGCCCACCTGGGCCCATCCCGCCCAGCCCCCTGACCCTGCCTGCTCCTGGCTGCAGCCTGTGCCTCCTGTCTCCCACAGCCACCCACCCGGACTCTGTGACAAGGGCACGTTTCATCTATGCTCATGTGGAGTTGTGCCAGGTGAGGTGTGCAAACCAGGAGCTGCTCGAGTTCATCAGCCACAGAGTCACGGGGAGGAAGAGCCCGCTTCCAACACCTGGGCCCTGAGGCTTCCCCCGGCTCCTGTGTCACAGCACCCTCTGCCTCGGTCCTCTGTCCCAACACCAGGGCCTCAGGACCGGTGCAGCTCGGGGAGAATCCCACAGGACACTGTCACACAAGGCTCCCTTCTCTGGAACTCAGACCCTGCCCACCTGCCCTCTTCCCGCTTGTTCCTCTCCTGCTGCTGGGAAACTGACAATGCCCTATTTTTCTTCACCTTGGGCCCACGGCTGTCCCGGTGAGAACCTCTTTCCCACCTCCCGCCACACACTTCATTCCGGGGTGAGCCAAGGCTGGCGGGCACGCTCACCATCCAAAGAGTGCAAACCCTAATCCAGGAGGGAAAAGGAAGGGGTGGCCTACTTGCCAAAGCCGTGAGCCTAGACCTCGCCCTGGCTTCTCCAGGGAACACGGGAAGGGCCCTGAGGGGCAAGCGAGGCACCACCTCGCAGCCCTTGTGCAACATCGGACACCAACCACGGTGGCTCCCTGCCTCCCGTCAGCCGTCTTGCCACCTGGCCTTGGGGGACCCTACAGAGCGGGAACGGAGCCAGCTCTGCCGGGGCCTGGTCTTCCTGCAGGGGGAGAACCTGCTGGCTACGGCCTGGCTCTCTGAGAAGTGCTCCTCTGTGGCACTTCAAGCTGTGAAAGTCCCCCAGCTTCCTTCTCGGCTCGCACTTCATTCTCGGGCTGAAGGCCTCCCGCAGCCTTCAGAGACCCAGCCCTTGACCCACCAAGTGGCCCGACCGCAGCTCTGCACAGCAAACCTGCCCTACTCTGTGCCTCAGGCCCAGACGCAGGCCCCAGACCCACGCTCACCCCCAGACCCCCCACCTTCCTGCCCATCCCAGGTGAAGGCCTGTACAACCACTGGGCCTACACGCCAGCAGGAGGCACAGTCACCTGTCCCAGTGGAAAATCAGCAACTGGCATGGCCTCTGCAGACGCCACCAAAACCCTCGGGCCCTAAGCTCCCAAGAGCGCAGGAACACTCTGCGCAACCCACTCTGAACCTTCCTCAAGGCAGCCAGGCCTCCCAGACCCCCAAGTCTGCCCATCTTCTTCTGGGGGAGTCTAACAGCCCTGAGCTCCAGGAGCCCACAGAGCTAGCCAGGGTAGAGGGCTTCTGGAGAGACGAACACCTGCCTCGCCCTGCCTTCGGGATCCAAACATCCCAGCCAGGGATGCAGCTGCTGGGCAAACTGCCAGGGAAAGGTCAGGGCCAGGCACAGGGCAAGCAGGGGCCCCCCATACCCTCAGCTCCTGCTCATCAAAGCAGCCAAGGGGTGCAGAACATAGGCTCCTGCAGCCGTGGCAGAGCCTTGAGGAAGGGCACCAGAGCCTTCCAACGAGGCCAGCCTGGGGATGCTCTTCAACAAGCCCTGGAGAGGGACCCCCAGAGTTCAGGAAGGACCTCCCAGAAGGTTCGGGGACATTATGACCAGCATG